ATTGAAGTGTACTTTACATCCCGTGCCTAATGCCCCAAACCTTGAAAAAAAGCGTCCTCACCAAAAAATTTCGTTTTAAATGATTTAAATGTTTTTAAGGTGATTGCTTTCGAGGTTGACAGAGTCACTGTGTTACATGGTTTCCGATGTTTGTAAGGCAAATTAGATTAGTCGCTTACCAAAGTAGATAAGGGTACATTTCTCACTCTCAAACCATGTTGAACCCTGCTTCAGTAGGCGGAATTCCTTTGTAGTCATGACACACTATTTTGGTCCAAGTAGTCCCATATTCGTCCCCCACTTAGTTCGACCAGTTTAAATATCTTTATTGCGACCATGGACATGGCTTTAAGGATAAAATACACTGTCTACACTGTTGTAATCATGCGCTGAGAGCAAGGAGCTGTATGTTCTGCATGCACAAATACATTTGAGAAAAAAATCCCTTACACTAGGGTAATGCAAATTCTTTGCGATTGGCAAATGCACTTTGTGGTGTGTAGTGCCGCCTCTTAGCATAAAACTGTCATCTTTCTTAGCTGAGTTTTGCGCAAAGAAATCAACAAGAGAAAAAGCTACTTTAGTGAAGTTCTGCTGCAGCACTCTTGTCTCTCCAGAAGTCGAGTAGTCATAGTCCTAAGGCAGAGAATGCATTGCCGAAGTACAGGAGGGCTGAGAGTCTACAGCCAGGGACTTGTGTCCATGTCAGTGAGCAGACAAATAATTCCAGACCTTTTAAGCTAACTTTTTGCTCACATTTGGCTTTCTCGTAGAGCTTTGAATGCCTTCATTGCTTCATAAACTAGCTACGTGGTAACAAATTTATACGCAGTGCTTGTGTGCGACCTACTGAACTTCCCAAACACTCTTCATCCATCAGAGGGGTAGCACGGTCATCTTCATATATTTTAATTAACACATACACCACGACTACGACGACACTACACTCGAGAATTATGAGGGAAAACACTTCTTCGTGCAGAGGTTTTGCACCAGTTGGGGTGTATTTGGATTACTGATGCATCATCAATCGGGACCAAGTCAGTCAATGAAATTTTGTCTATTTATTAACCTTCTCAAGATTAATGAGCACCTACCGCTAAGAAAACATGAAGTTCTAAAGTGGTTGCAATCCTTCTTGAAGCAGAAACCTATTTGGTTCCACATGAACAGGAGAGGCTGTACCACTTTTCCAATGTTATCTTCATTCTGAAACATGGAGAAATTTTCTTGATAAATAAAATTGATTAATTTGTGAATAAAGTGCTTAAAGAGTAGACCAGGGTCAGATTTTAATGCACGTTAAAACCATAGGCATGATGGCTTCAGAATGGTAAGAAAAAAAAATTATTGCAAATAAAGCAATTTCAACTGACCGTCCATTTACCCTGATATAAATTGGAGGCAATTATAAAAGGGTATCACATGCAACGAAAACAATTTTTTGTCGCAGAGTGCTTATTTGAATTAATGTGTCATTATCAACATGGACAGAGAGGAAAAGTAACCGTCTATTGAGAGATGCAAACTCCCTTTAGCGCATAACTGTGACAAGTGAAAATAGTTTAAACAGTTCCCACCATAAATAAAGTAGAGCACAAATCGGGTGGCCAAATCCAAATGACCTTTTGACTAAATCCTACAAGTAAGCGGGTTGTAATGCAGCGATAGTTGTCAGGTATCCGCCCATTCTGATTTCTTTCAATTAATTATTACGAATAATGCCACCTTTGCATGCTAGAGTTCTGCTTTTCTATTTTAAAAGCAAAAATTCTCAATCTGACTTGAATTATCTCTGTAAAATGCATTTCTGACATCACAGTAGACTTCCATGATTGTACTTTACTGACGCGTAGAGGCCACTTCGGCTTGAGTTTTCTCAAGTGTGCTAGACACATGCGCAGCTAGAAAATTGTTCTGACAAAGTTGGACTAAGCAGCCGCCTTTAATTACTCTGGCAGATGTCAAGGGTAAAATGCTCTGTTCTGTTATATAAGCAATGTTTCAATGCTCCACCCAGTACAGGATTTGCTTGACACATGCTGTGCATATAGTAAGTTCTGTAACCCGTGTTTATGGACAAATAACAGAGACAGAATGAGTGCATATCCCTTCCATCCGAATATTGCACCTCATCCTTTCTTGCGAATATTTTATTGTCCTTAAAAAACTAGAAAAACCATCAAGGAAAGTGTAATAAAGTAGGCTTTATGGAAACACGAAGCAGAAAAGTTAAAATTTATACACAAGCAAATGAGAGAAATGATGCAGGAGTGATATCTTAATTAACATTTCCTGCAAGCTGTTCCGCAATTGATCAGACGCAATGAGTGCCCAATTAATGGAGATCTTGAACAACAAATTTGCCCGTCAGATGAGGTACAGTATAAAAGCGTGATTCTAGAGGCTCGTATTTAAAGAAAAAGACTCAACCATCTCTTAATTGCTATTTTTGCATGAATGAAGAGGAGAGCAGTAAGTGAGCAGTATTTAAGGGTGTTAACTCGAGCACCAACAAAAGTTAGACAGCAAGTAGACTACTGTGTGTGGCTCAAAACAGACAAGTCAAGAACTGAATTAGTCCTTAATAGATTTAGTTCAGTAACAGGACCCGAGCGCAATTTTCTCTAAATAGTAGGCAGAATGTACCAAAAAATGTGTCCATGTCGTTCACGACCTAGATAATAGGAATGAAACTTCATTAATCATCTACCTTGTGTCATCTTGACTGTCTAAAATCCTTCCTAGAGTTAATGAACTCAAACAGCAACAGCAATAACAGAGTAATAAAAGGAATATAAAGTGCGTTTTTAGTAAATCTACATAAAAAACTTACACTCTTTTTCTTCGTAGAAAATGTGATGAAAATAAGTAGAAAGTGTTTATAAGTCAGGCTAATACACCATCCACCCAACTGAATTGAGGGGACTTGTATCAATCCCATATACATCCATGTCATCATGCAGCATGTCAAATGACAACAAACACCCTAAATACATCATTAATACCAATCCTACTGAAAGGCGATCAAATCGTCCATGATTAGAAGGCAAAGCTTTCTTCAAAATGCTGGCGGGTAACTTAATTTAAAACAGGTGGCAGAGCAAATGACTGATCATGGGATGCATGTCAAGATACTTGAGTCTGTGTAAACATTATTTGAACGAACTTACACCCTCAAAATACCAACCAACGTAGCTTGCTGTGCTAATAGCTTGCTTCCCTACACCCTTTATCTCTACCTTCTCTTAAGTGCCTTTAATCTGCCACTTTTGAGCTGCCTTGCTATAGCGATTAACAGACGCATTCATTCTTTCTGGACATTAATGAGAACGGCAGCATTGCTTAAAAATTTAACCATTACGCTGCTGGAAACGATCCCAGCATAAGATTCGTCAAACCTCCAAAATGCCAACGCTACTAGCTACCCAAGTTGGCTTGCTTTGGACGTCGCGCGTCACCTTTACTCATTTCCGGAAAGAGGACAGACTTATTCAAACACCGAATAAACCAAAAGTTGAGTCAGAAGCATATTTTGTCTGTGTTAGGAAAAAAATATACGCAAATCAATGGCATGACTGACCTATACTTTTGCAAGTCAATAAATTTAAGGCCTAATGGAATTGACATTTGACAGGTTAGGCAA